GCCTCAGCTCCTGGAGCTTCGGGCCACTATGCAGTGGCAGAAGTGGGACCCCAGTGTCCATGCCTGGAGATCGGAACTGCAGCTCCTCCAGTGTAAGGGCTGACAAGGCAGCATAGCATCTGGCCTCAGCTGTGATGACAGAGGTGTTTGCCATGTAATTACACTTGTGCTGTTCACATCTTCTCACTCAGTAACTGTTTTGCTATACTAGGCTCTTGCTCCCCAAATGTGGAGAATGGTAAAGGGAAATTTTATACTAAAAGAAAACCTTATGGTGAGCGTTATATAGGTATGAGTGAAAAAATGTTACTGATCAGGTTATTTAGATCAACATGAAGTAGAGGGTTGTTTAGTATCTTCAGTCTGGAGCTTTACTGCATTAATTTCATATGGTGAAGCTTGTTGTTACTTTTCTTGTCAGCAGCAAATGAATAGTTTGTTTTCTAAAGACAATAATAACAATCTGGGTTGCACATTTAACAAAACTCCATGGTAAGCCAATCTCAAAGTATCATTTCCACGACAATGACCCAGCTCTTCTTTGAACAGAAGCAGCTTGTGTCTAGGAACTCCGTGGCTTCCCGTTTAATCTTATGGGGAGAAGATTTTCAGTACATTGTGATACTCTTTAGTTTTTAAATAATAACAAATCTCTTAACTTTCTTCAAAATTTTCGTATCTTAAAAATTCCAAAAACATCATTCTCAATATCCAGATATTGTCAGTTATTTGCCAGAATGAAAACTCTCCAGTTCAACTAAAAATTACTATACAGTATATTCTAGTGGTTAACAAACAGAAATGTTCATTCCAACTACAAAGTACTATTGCTTAATTTCCTCACAACACAGGAAGCATATTTCAGCGCAGGAATAAAAAGTGTTTGTCCACATGTGACTGAATTTAACAGAGAGGCATGTAGATAAGTGGGCTTGATATTTAGTTCAGTATGGTTTCACATGCTATGCGGCATACATAGCCAAGGAGATTTTTAAAAACAGGCCTGATAGAAGGTCTAGAGAGATTTCTGATAAGATTGATTTATTTGGTTTAGAAATACTTTCCTTGAACCTATTAAAAAAGGTAACACCAGAATTATCATAACAAAACACATTGAAATGTGAGAACTATAACAAGATGAAAATCTGACAGGTACAATTAGTATGACATAAAGCAGGAGGAGGTGAACCAAAACCTTCAATTAAACATTTTGGCATTTACACTTCTTAATTCTTTGACTTGTTAAAAAGGTTGGGAACAACATGAAAGCCATTTATAGCTTAACAATGAAAGGAGGATTACTACTACTTAATTTTATTTCACTGACAAAGTGCCTTCTACAAAATCCAGCCCATGGGACAGGAACATGATCTTGGCCACACGTTGGTATTACTGGTTTGCAGCATTATTTCCCTGTCCGTTTCTGAATCTTTTTCTACATGGGCTCAAACAATAGCAACTCTGGCAAGAATCCTTCTATATACACAGTGAAAAAATACCTCTGAGCTCCGCAAGTGATAAATCAAGTGTCACACTGCTTTTCGTAACACCCAAAGGCAACAGTCAGGTTGACTAAAACTCGAAGGACTCTATAATGGCTTTAGTCTTTAGAACAGCAATGCAATCGGTTGGTCTTGCATTATCTCTGCTGGGATGGGTTTTATCCTGTCTTACAAACTATCTGCCACACTGGAAGAACCTCAATCTGGACTTAAATGAAATGGAAAACTGGACCATGGGACTGTGGAAAACCTGCGTCATCCAGGAAGAAGT